ACTGTCAAGATTGGAATGTTTCAGGTCCAGAGCCTAAGAATATCACCAGATAGCATCTGAGACCTATAGTAAGCAGGTCTTTACTATGACCTGCTTACTGAATATATATAGCAATGTATTTAAAGAGTATGTTGATTTATGACTTTGTTCTGTTACTGTAAGAAGTCCATAAAACTGCTACCTCATTGGAACATGGTGTTTGGGGAAACCTAAATCTGTGTTTCCAGGCCATGGTCATTCATATTTGGCTCCAGAATAAACCATCTCTTTTATTCTGTTGAGGTGAGGGCTTGCCAGATTTCCAGTTGCTTTCTGCTTCCTGTACCTGCTTGAAGATATGATTCCTTCAGCTTTCTTCCCTGGTCATCTCTGACACTATGCCCCCAACCATTATGGTCTCTAAGCTCTCTGGAATCATAAATCAAATAAACTGTTCCTTCTAGAAGTTGCCTTGGTCATGGTGTCTTATCACAACAACAGAAAAGTAACTAATACAGAAGTTGGTACCAGGACAGTTGGGTGTTGCTGTGAAGAACCTGATCATGTGGGTTTGGGGAGGAATGTGGAAGACTTTAGAGGTTTGGACTAGAAAATGCTGTAAGCAGAGCCATTCTAGGAGGAGCCTGGAAGAAAGTAGTGCTGAGAGCAAAGAAGTTCCATAGGAAAGTAAGGACTTAAGCAACAGGGATGTTTTGGCAAAAACTCTGGCTGTAGCCTGAACACAGCCTAAGAGCTTGTCTGATGCTAAGTTGAAAAATAATGGACTAGTTTCTTTGGTAGAGGGAATTTCAAGATAGCCTAATGTATAAATGGTGATGTGGCTGTTAATGGTGAATATTATGCAGATCTGCAGTGAAAAAGAACAAATGGGGCAGAAAGAAATGCAGAATGTACTGTTTGGATTATAAAAGAGCACTAGGAAGATTAATGTTGGAGCCAAGGCATGTGCTGAAGGAGAGGCTGTCTTTGTTAAGATTAGAGCTTATAGATTTACAATTAAATGATGGGAAATGCACCAAGCTAAGCCTCCAATTTGAGAAAAGAAAAAGCCTAAGGAGATTCTTGTGGGAGACAGGCTTGAGCCTAGGGTGAAAGTCTTATTGACGGCCATACAGCAGGCCTGAGGCAACATCTCGACTGCTGGAGCCACAAGGAATGCCTCATGATGTTTGCTCCCATTGGCAGATCATGAGACTGATGCCTAGAGCTAGCCACTCACAAATCACCACCCTTGGGATCCAAAATTGCAACACTTAGATATTGCAACAGTCAGGGTCACCTGGTTTCTAGGTATCCAGGCTCTGTAATCTGAAACCCAGTATGCTAATGAGGCATCCTACCCTCTATTCTGTGATAGGATGTTAAGTGTGTTATGCTAATAGGATGCTAAACCTGTCATGCTAATAAGGTATCCTACTTGCTGTACAGTGATTGGATTCTAAACCTGTTATGCTAATAAGGTTTCCTACTTGCTGTGCTGTGATTGGACCACTACCCCTATATAAGCTTGTGCCTTCCTGCAATAAAGTAAACCTGTGTTACTGAACCTGGTCTCCTGTGTCTGAATGCGGCTCTGCTGACACAGTCTCCTCACCAGCCCTGGGGTACAGGACTGGGCAGAAGCAGTGACTACAGGAGGCAGCACCAGGCAAGCAGAAGAGTGGCCTCAGCCCAGGGTGAGTGGAGGTGCAGCCTCGAAGCCCATGAGAACAAAGGAGCTGGACCCACGTGAACGGAGGAGCGGCCGCCACAGGCGGTGACTGCAGATTCTTGCTCCTAGAAAACTGCTGTAGACAAAAGCTGCTGGTAATGTGGATGAAGCTGGCCAGGGTTCATTCTAGGCTGGCAGTCAAACTTGGTAGTGTTGTTCACATGGTGCTAGCTTTAGAGGCATTAAAGTTGCAATAGTGATGGGGTTATCAGTTTTACCTTTGGGGTTTCAGAGAACCACTGAGGCCAGACAGCATGCAGCAGGCAGCAGGGATACCCCTGAATAAAGAGGGCCCTGATAGGCCAAGAGATCCAGGCTTTGAAGGTAAAGCCTGGTTGGCAGTGGAGACCCCAAGATACTGGAGATGCTAGAGCCATAAGGCATCTGCCAAGGAGAGCCACATACAAGGAGTGGAACTAGCCTGAGAGAGGTGTTTGTTGTACATAACATAGCTGGAGGGGCTGAGCCATCTATGCTCTTAGTAAGTAAAGTCCCAGAAGTCTCATGGAGCTACTGGATTTGGTGTTTGTCTTGCTGCTTTTCAGTCTTATTTTGATCCAGTATTTCCTCAGTATGCCCCCATTACACTCCTCCCCCATTTTTTTGGTCTTTTTGAGACAGGGCCTTCCTATAGCCCCAACAGGCCTGGAACATGGTATGTAGGCTGACCTTGATTTTACAGAGATCCACCTGCCTCTGCCTCCTGAGTGCTGAGATTAAAGGTATGCTCCACCATGCCCAGCTCTTTCCTCCCTTTAGGGATAGGAATGTGTACTCTGTTCCAATGTGTGTTGGAAATATGTAATCAAAAAATATTTTATTTTTTATTTATGTGTATCAATATATTTATTGCCTGTATGTATATGTGCATCTGTGTTGTGCAGTGCCCATGGAGGTTAGAAGAAGGTGTTGTATCCCCTGGAACTGGAGTTATGGACAGTTAGCTGCCATGTAGGTGCTGGGTATTGAACTCAAGTCCTCTGCAAGAGCAGCCAGTGCTCCCAATTGCTGAGCCATCTCTCCCACCCTGGAAGTATGTAATTTGTCCTTGATTTTACAGGAACTTACAGTTAAGAGATTGCCTTGAGTCTCAGAAGAGACTATGGACTCTGAACTTTATTTTTATTTTAAAAATATTTTATTTTTATTTTATGTGTTTGAATGTACCACCTGCATGTATGTGAGTACACTCATGTTGTTGTAAATCCTGTGGAGGTCAGAAGAGGGCATTGGATTCCCCTGAAGTTGGAGTTACTGACAGTTGTTGGTGCTAGGAATTGAACTGCTATGTGGGTGCTGGGAATTGAACCCAGTTCCTCTGCAAGAGAAGCCAGTTCTCTTAACTGCTGCATCATCTCTCCAGCCCCTATTTTTATTTTTTATTTTGTCTTTTTGAGACAGAATCTAACTGTAGCCTCAGCTGTCCTGGAACTTGCTATGTAGACCAGTCTGTCCTCTATCTTACAGATATCCAGCTCAATGCATTTTGCATTATGATATGGTCATGCGCCTATAGGGGCCTCGAAGTATAATGCAGTGGTTTGAATGAGAATGTTCTCTATAGGCTTAAAGTGATTTGGGGGCGGGTGGGGGGCTCTGAGACAGGTGCTCCTTGTAGCCACAGCTGGCCTGGAACTCACTATGTAGACCAGGCCGGCCTTGAACTCACAGATCTGTCTGCCTCTGCCTCCTGAGTGCTGGGATTAAAGGCCTGCACCATCACTCCTGGCAGGCTCCAATTGATTTTATCTCCAGTTATTGCCACTGTTTTGGCAGGTTTTAGTGTGGCCTTGCTGGAGGAATCACTCCCTGGGGGCTTTGAAAGTTCTTAAACCTTGCCAGACTTTTAGTATGCTTTCTGTGCCTACTTGAAGATGTGATGCCTCAGCTTTCTTCTCTGGCCACCTCTGCCACCATGCCTCCCCACCATTCTGAACTCTAAAAATCTCTGGAATCGTAAGTCAAATAAAGTCCTTATAAAAGTTGCTTTGTTCACATTGTCTTATCACAGAAAGGTAATACAGTGTTTAATCTCCATTTTGAGGTATTAAGTGGCTGTAAATAAGCTGGGCACGGTGTTGAATACTTTTAATCCCAGCACTTGGAGGAGGAGATGGAGGCCAGCCTGGTCTACATAGCAAGTTCCAGGGCAGCTGAGGCCACAGGGAGACCCTGTTTAAAAAAAAAAAGGTAGAATTATAGAACTCAGAAGCGGCATTGTGAGGCATTGCCAGGGTGGAAATATAACAGAACTCTGGTGTCCAGAGGTGACTCGGTTGTTAAGATTAGATGAGGTCATTAGGGTAGAGCCCTCATCATCGAACAAAAAGAGAATGCAGAAGACACATGTGTGCCCTATCTCTTACCATGTGATGTCAGTCGTTTGTTAGCAAGACATCACATCACCTGACACGATTCCTTGGCCTTGGATTAAGCTTAATGTGAGCCCAAATAAACCTCTTTTCTTTAAAATATCTAGATTGTATAGCACTGGGTTATTAGTAACTAGGAACAGATTCAGTGTCCTGTCAGATTGCTTACATTCAGTGAGAGAATCCCAGCATAGCTGTCAATGCCACTGGTAGCTCCCAACAGCACTAACGGTCAGACACTAGTTAGTTTATTTTCTTAGCCCCCATTTTTTTTCTCCTTTCCCTTCCCTTCCCCCCCACTCCAGGAACTCACTATGTAGCACTGGCTGGCCTAGAACTCGCAATGTAGACCAGGCTGGCCTTGAACTCACGGAGATCAGTGTGCCTCTGCCACCTGAGTGCTGGGATCACAGGTGTGGTGCCACCACGCCTGCTCAGACTCCATTTTTTAACCCTTCCCCCATCCCCCCGACACTTCACCACAGTTAGGTTCAAGGGCAGCTATAGAGACTGTCCCTTAAGGCGCCAACTTTTTAAAAATCTGTAATTTGCAAGTGTGATTATTATGGATTTATCCTAGGGTCTGATGACTCCTCCTTGAGAGGCAAAAAGCCAGGGTGAACTGTACCGGGCCCTAGCGCCTCCAAAGTAGCCCAGGCTGCGTTTACTGTGAGCGTGCAGTACTGTGAGCAAGGTGTGGTGACTGGGAACGGGGCGGCTCAGTCACCCGTCGCTCGTCGCGGTCCGCCTTAGCCCGGGCCTTCCCGGGGCGCCCCGCGGGGCATCCCTAGCAACGGGCGGGCTCTCGCAGCCCCGCCCACTTCAGGCGGCGGCGTCTGCGCTTGCGCGCGCGGCAAAAGCCAGTCGGCTCGCGTCTCCTCCCCGCCCTCTTCTCTTTCACCCTCCTCCCCCTCAGCCGCCCGGAGCACAACGCCAACATGGAGCCCAAGGACCTGCGGTGGCCCGGCGAGCTGGAGGAGAAGGAGGAGGAGGAGGACGAGATGGCCAAGGCCTGGCTGCAGGTGCAACCCGGCGGGGCTTTTCCGCCGCCACTGCCCACGAGGCACTCGTACGCTGCGGCCGAATGGACGCCTGCGGAGCAGGTGAGCGGGCGGGGGAGGTGCGGGTCCCGGGAGGATCGCGGGGGCCCGTTTGCTGCGGGGCCCTGACTCCAGCCGGTGGGGCTGGCAGGCTCCTGGTGGTCTCCTGTCCTTTCTAGCAACCACGTCTCCCTTGTCTGACTCCTTCAGTGGGGTCCTGAGCCTCTTTCAACTACGACAGATGGGACAGATGCTCGAGGTCGACTGTAGTCCCAGGGCTCCCAGTTAGGAAGGCTTTTGTCAGGAGGCGGGAGCTGGGGTTGCACCGGAGCTAGCCGTTGCTAAGGAATAGCCAATTACGAAGACAATTAACTTTAGTTTTCACTGAAGTGCAGAAAGAACTCTCCTTGAGGAATTAGTGTGGATGTGTACTAGGCATGAGAGATGTTGGGAGGCTTCCCGCCCACTGAGTTTTTCTGGGATCGCATTTGCAGCAATACTTGGGTCCCCTGCCAGTGGGAGGGACTTAGAATGTCAGAGGCTTGTGGCATTGCTCTAGTTTAAAAAACTAGAAAGAAAAGTCAAGACAGAATGGAGTAAATGGATTTTACCATTGTCTCACTAAGATACGACCATGTAGTGAATTTAATACTTTTCAGATAGCAAGACCTCTGCTGATCAATACCTGAGCCACTAGCCAGGAGTGGCTATAGAGGAGCTGGGTATTATTATCTCAGTGGTAAAGGGCTTGCTTAGTATGTGTAAGGCCCTGAGTTCAAGGCCCAGTACTGGGGGGAAAAGAATGAATAAAATTAGGAATTTGTTGACTCCATTGTTTTAATCCCCTTTTCAAGTACTTGCTAGCCATACTTGATTAATAGCTGCCCTGGTGGATTACTAAGGATTTAAAAAATGTTGTCTGGTGCTCCAGGGGGTTGGTAATCTATTGAGCTTATGCTTTAAAATTTTTATGTGTGAGTGTTTTGCCTGCATGTATGTAAGTGCACCCAAGACGTTCAGTGCCCTCACAGGTCAGAAGAGGGCCTCAGATCCCCTGGAACTGGAGTTACAGATGGTTGTTAGCTGCCATGTAGATGCTGGGAATCCAACCAGGGTCCTCTGTAAGAACAGCTAGTGTGCTTAACCACTGAGCCATATCTGCAGCCCGAGCTTATGCGTTAAGCATTAATTTTGTGCCACGCTTTGTGCTTGATTTCAAGGAGATCTTGGTGAACCAAACCCTGCTTTCCTAGCTTTCCCACTCTAAAGAGGGAGGCAGGTAAAATTCAAATGACCTCATAATTAAAACTGGTATAGCTAAAATGCTGTGACACATAAGGTAAGGTAACTTGGACTAGTCAGGTTGGGGAGCTTCTTGAGGAGGTTATAATAGAACTGACGTCTGAAGACAGAGTAAAGCTAGCCAAGCAAGGGGTAGAAAAGCATGGTGTTTTCAAGGAAATGAAGGCCAGTGGCTTGAGTTGGAGTTGTGCGTTGCTTCAGGTGTTATGCCAGGGGTTTGGAGGCTTTGTCCCTGGAGCTTTGGGAAATCAATAAAATGTTTTAAACAAGGATGTGTATGATCATATATGTGTTTCAGCAAGATAACCAAGTAGTGAGTGGACAGGTGTGATTGCAGTCAGATTCAAGTAGCAGGAATAGGCGAAAGACACTAATTGGAGGGAAGTGCAATATTGTCAGGCAAAAAAATGGTCTTGTAGTACAGGGACATGGAGTGTTTGTTGGTGAATACAGGGAAAACTAGACTGTTTTGAGAGGTATTTGCTGTGCCAGGACAGTTGACAGACCACGGGCTGTGAGTGAATTCACCGAAACAAAAAGGCAGAAGTAGAAAGTTTATTAGCTGCAGTGAGCTACAGCTGCCTGTGTAGGGGCATTATGAGGGGCTACTTTCTTGGACTTTGCTGTGTGGGCAGTCAGGCTTTGTTTCACTCTCATGGTGCCCTGCTTGTTTGGGTCTTATCAGGTGGGACACCTGTGTTTGTGTTTCTTTTGGGAACTGGTTATCTGTGCAGAGAAAGTATGGGTCACTAGGGGTTAAATTTGGGATGGTTCTGTGTGCTCATTAGAGAATGGAATTCCCTTACAGTGGTATCAAGATGCCCTAAAACAGATTATAGCCAGGACTTGTTAAGGCTCCCTCATTCTGATCCTAATTGAACCCCAGCCTGCGGAGACCAAAGCAGCCTTATTCTGAGGATAGAAGGGCTTGGCACAGCCATTCATCCTGGAACAGCAGCCATATTTTCAAGGCAAAAATTGTCACACTTAATAATGGGCTAGATATGGAGGGTAAAGTGTCCAGGTATTTGGTTATTGAATGAATTCCTGTGCAGATTTTAAGATATGACCAGGTCTGTGGTGGGAATGGTGGCCATGAAGAAAGATCTTAGAAGCAGTCTTTCTCTACTACATATAGATAGGTTGCTGTTATGCAGAATAAGAATTTTCTCATGTTAGCAATAGTGAGAATGAAAGTGAAGCTGGGTATGGTGGCACATGCCTTTAGTCTCAGCACTCAGCACTCAGGAGGCAGAGGCAGGTGAATCTCTGTGTGATCAAGGCCAGCCTTGTCTACATAGCTAGTCCCAGGCCAGCTAGGGCTATTGGGAGATTGTCTCCAAAAAAACCAAAAGAAAGGAAAGAGTTAATGTGAAGTCTGGGCATGGTAGTGCACACCTTTAATCCTAGCATTGAGAAGGAGATTTCAGAGTTCCAGGCCAGACAGAACCGCACAGTAAGACTCTGTCTCAAAAACAAAAATCAGTTGTTTACACTAGAAAATACCTGAAGGTGTAGATTCTCTTTTTTGTGTGTGCTGCTGAAGATCAAATCCTAGTGTTGATGCATGTTAGGCAAGCTCACTGCCAATGAGCTATATATAGGCCTCCCCACCCCTAAGTTTTGTTGAGTAGTGTTTAGTGCAGTGTAAATTGTTTAAAGGAATGAGCTCAAATAACCGGAAACATTTTCATTCGCTCAGTTAAATTACAGAATTCTAATATTCCATTTACCCTCTCATATAACTCTTTCTAGGTAATAAGGGTTTTCTAGGGATGATCTGTAAGACAGTGATTAAGTTTGTAGTCCTGTTAGTCAAAGATGACTATTTCTCTCTCTCTCTCTCTCTCTCTCTCTCTCTCTCTCTCTCTGTTGTATGTTTTATGTTTGTAGTGCAATATATGTGTGTGGGGGGTGCATGTGGAGGCCAGAGATCTATCTTGAGTGTCTTTCTGGATAACTCTCCACAATTTTATTGTTACTTAATTTTTTTGATTTTTTAAATATTTTATTATTTTTAGTGTGTGTGTGTGTGTGTGTGTATTGCTTGCATGTATGTAAGTGCACTCGTGTCATGCAATGCCTGCAAAGGACAGAAGAGGCTGTTGGATCCCCTGGGACTGGAGTTATGGACAGTTGTTAGCTGCCATGTGGGTGCTGGGATTTGAATCTGAGTCTTCTGCAAGAACAACCAGTGATCTTAACCTCTGAGCCATCTCTCCAGCCGCCCCCGCCCCTGCCCCTTCACTCTTACCCTCTAGCCCCTGCCCAGTGTTCAACATCTCTGGTTGGAAGATTGGCATTTTTCAGAAGAAAGAACAGGCCTGAGCCCTTACCTTGTCCATGGTATGCCGTTTTCAGGAAAGGTGCTGGAATGAGGACTTCTCCATGCCCTGGAACACTTTAGGTTTATAGGAATGTTTTATGTGTGAAAGGTATCATCTGGATTCCCCTCCATTGTGGTCTGTGTACATAAACTCTCAGGTTTCTTGGGTTAATTTTGATAATTTTAAGATTTTCCTAGAAAGTCCTTCATTTCAAAATGACAAGGGTCTCAGTTGATTAGAATGGAGTGCTATATAGTATTTTTAATTACTTGCTTGTATGTGACTATTTCTGCTTCTCATTTTTTATTATTTTTATTTTATGTATATGAGTAGTATTGCTTGCATGTGTGTAAGTGCACGCACATTGTGCAATGCCCAAAGAGGTCAGAAGAGGGTGTTGGAGTTCCCTGGAACTGGAGTTACAGATGGTTGTTAGCTGCCATGTGGGTGCTGGGAATCGAATCTGGGTCCTCTGCAAGAGCAACCAGTGCTCTTAACCACTAAGCCATCTCTCTAGCTCCATCGCATTTTTAATTTTGTGTGTTTATGTTTTATTTTTTACTTGGTTTGCTTTACTTTTCATCCAAGGAAATAGCTCTTGGATTTAAGTTTAATTCTATTGCTTTTCATCTGTTTAATTTAGCAATTTTAATTTCAATCTTTTTTTTTTTTATTTTTTCTTAGTCTGTATGCTGTGTGGCTTCAGTTGTCAACTTGACATACTTGGGTAGAGGGAGCCTCAACTGAGCTACTTCCTGCCTTGGATTGACCTGTGGGGCATTTTCTTGATTATTGAATGGTGAATTAGGGCCCAGCCCTCCCTACATAGTGCTACCCCTGGGTAGGTGATCCTTGATTGTGTAAGAAAGCAGGCCGGGTACAGGCCAGGGAAGCGAGCCAGTCAGCAGTGCGCCTCCATGGTTTGTACTCCAGGTTTCTGCCTTGGCTTTTCTTGATGATGGGCTGTGACCTATAATCCAAAGAAACCTTTTCCTCCCCAGGTTGATTTTGGTCAGCCTCCTTTGGTTTTTAACACTTACTAACGTGCCATACAGTTAAAATACACATCAGGTGTTTTCATAGAGGTTATTATAGGTGATTTTAGAACATTTTCCTCACTTCTAAAGGAAAGTCCATGTACTTGAGTTTTTAGTTTCTCATCTTTCATTCCCCCAGGTGGCTTTATTCTGCTTTCTGCTTATAGATTTTGTCTATCTTATGTATATGGAACCCTGTCCTGGGTGCTTTTTTTGGTTGTCCTCACATTTGCATGATGCTTTCAGGGTGTGTCCATTATGTAGTGTGTGTCTGCTCCTCACCTCTTGTATGGGCTGAAGAACCATTATGTGACTGCCCAGTATTTTGTTCTTTGATCAGATATAAAAGTTTATTTTGGGGGCCTGGGGACAAGGCTCAGTGGGTAAGAATGCTTAC